AAAAAAAAAAGAATACAACTCATAACACTTGTAACATTTGTGTCCAAATTTCCCTAATTAGATACCATCAACTCATTTTTGATAGGCATCTTTTGTCTGTGTGTATGTGTGCACACATACACGTGCACATGTGTGTGTGTGTGGGCCCACCTCAGTCTGCCCTGGGGGGCAGGGCTGTCAAGGCATGTGGTGCCCAGGATTGAACAGTGGTCCCTGCAGTTGCCTAAGCAGGTGCTTTAGACCACTGTGCTATCTCACTAGCCTCTTAAAATGATTTTTGAGTAATCAGTTTTTTATGAGCTTCAACCTAATTCAGTTTTCTTTGGCCCTTACACCTGGGTATACCTTATACCCTGTGAGGTCCTCATACCTTTGTTTTCTAACTAGTCTTCAGACTTATTTTCTTCATTCTATATAATGCTTTCTCATACTACTTTAATGTTCAGAAATTCTATAAGCCCAAACACTTCTAGGTGCTTTTTGAGATCTAATTTAGAGCCACCATCTTTCACCATATGTGTGTAATAGACTTGTGGTGAAGTCAAACGGGGTAATATGTCTAAAATAGTCTGAAGTGCCTAATAGATAAACATGGCTTATAAGCACAATGCCTACAATGTAGTAAATTCTCAATAGTTGATAATTATTTTTGATCATTGTTATGACAAATATATGGGCTGATTTATGGCTATAGTTGTTTTTGGTGAACCTATGATTGTTTAGATGATGCAAATCATCTCTCCACTTGTTCTTTTTTTTTTTGCGGAACCAGGGATTGAACGCAGGCCCTTACACTTGCCAGGCAAGCACTTATTCTACTGAGCTGGCTCCCTGGCCCTCTAATTGTTCATTTTAGAGTGCCTTGTTGATAACCTGGGCTGGTAATTCCCTTTTTGAGAGGAAAAATTTTAGTTTCTATCACAGTCTGCTCATGAGGCCATAACAAAATCCCATAAACTGTGTAGCTGCAGAAATGTATTTCTGAGGGTCTGAAGGCTACTAAGCCCACTGGCTCATTCAAGGTTCCTGGTGGGGGCTCTCTTCCAGCTTGCAGGCAGATGTCTCTCACTTTGTCTTCATAAAGTGAAGTGTGGCCTTTCTTTGGTGCATGAAGAGTTGGGGAGCTGTTCTCCTGTTCTCAGGAAGCCTCTAATCCTTTGCTAGTATCCTTCCTTTACAGCCTAATCGAACCTGAATTACCTCCAGAAGAGGCTCAAACACTTCAATATGGGGAGT